GCACGCCAATCGAATCATGAGTTGATGTTCGTGTTTCAAGCAATCGTTTGTGGGCGCCTACGATGCAAGCCATCCATCTAGTTTGTCAACATCAAGCTGGTCGAGGGGGACTCGCAGTATACCCCTGAGTGCTTTTGCCCCCGCCCTGGAGTTCCACGGTCTTCGTGCCTGTTCTGCGAAGAGGCAAGAATGCACAGACTAATATACGATGCAGTGAATGCAAAAAGCCCGCCCTTGCTGCTACAGGGCTTTCTTCTGCCTAGCACACCCTCCTTGTTCTATATCAGCCCCAGCTCTCTGCGCGCCCAGCCCTTCTCCAAAGGATCGATCCACTCAACTTGAAACCCCTGAACCTTTCGAAGAGTTTGTATACCTCGTATACCCAGAGCAATCATGGTTAAACTCATCGACTACCCGGTATCGGTAAGTCTCATGAAATCATTGCTACCGTTGGCAATACTGATAATGACTAGGAGGACATCCAAAAGTCCTACGCGTCCTTCGTGAAGACAGTCAAGGAGAGTCTTACTCCTAAATATTCCATCGAGGATCCGGATCCCGTCCTTCTTGAGGCATTCCAAAATCTTACTTTGACCGCCGAAGGCTATATCGAATACAGTAACGAGCACGACTCCGTGGAAGACTGGAACGATCCTTCTACCACAGAGAACAATGTGTTCCAAGACATGATCAGTATATGCACGGTGTATCAGCAGAGAACATTGGCCGATGGCGAATTCTCCAAATTGGCAAGAGCTGGTATGCAATGTATAAAGCATGCCTACGACCCTCCGCCGCTGGACATGCTCTCCTACCCACCTCTTCCGGACTCCCTATTGACCGTGTACCGTCACATGGGATACACTCCTATCGAAGATGCCATCTTCTTCGATCTCGTTCTCTCATACGAGAACGCCTGTTTCTGGAATGCGTGGGGCAGCCGCGATGACCATTGCTACAACAGAGCGAGAGATTTGGATGACTCGGATGAAGATTACTGGGATGACTGGGAATGCCCATGTCGGTGTTTGTATTGCGTGGACGAGACTGCGTACATACATGGACTTGAGGAATGGCGTACTTTCCCCACAGCCATCACCCACATGGACTGGTTCATGGACGGATTTAAGGAAGTTCGGGACTACATCTTTGACGATTTCTGCATGACTTGCAGCTCGTACTTGGAGTATACCAACGATTTTGACAACTGGAACGATCCGGAAATCGCCGCTTTCCGCGAGTTTTCCGAGGTGGTCGAATACACAACGTACGTCTGTCCGGACTGGTTCCAGAAGTTCCTCGACTTACCTGGAGAGCTCCGCGAGTCCATCATGCACGAGTATGCATTGATGGAGTGTGATGCTGGTCGCCTGAGCGAGCATCAGCACTACGACGAATTCAGCAACCCGTGCTGCAAGTGGGAGTATCCCAACGTGCTTATCGCTTGCGACAACCAGAACCCCAAGGTGTTTCCGGACGCTAGTACGGGCCGTTGCCCAAAGGGTTGGCTACCAAACCTCGCTTTCGTCAGCCACAAGATGCATGAGGAAGTTCTCGTCCTGATGCTGCGGAGGACCAAGCGATTCGACTTGAAGTACATGTTCCGAAACACTAACTTCAAGATCGCGACTTGGTTTACCAAGTTCATAAAGGCGATTCCTGGTGGCGGCGGCGAGAACGCGGTGAAGCACCTCAACTTCCCGCATATGCATTGGTTCAACCACCAACGCCTCCCACCAGCCCTCACCAACGCCAGTTTCGAGTTGGCTGTCGCTTGCAAGAATCTGCGCAAGCTCGACATGACTTTCCATGTCGATAAGGTGACTTTTAGCAATGCGGAGACCGACTGGGAACGCAAGGCACTTCCTCTGGCTACAGTCATCGACCGATTCAAGCTGGAGACAATTCTCGGCTGTACCAAATTGGAAGAGGTCTACATCGACGGCATATACATGCGACCATCTCGAGGCGGCAAGGAGGCCGATTTAGATGTGCTAGAGGAAGTAAGCAAATGGATGATGAAGAGCTTCCTCGTTCAGCGGAAACCGGAGCGCGGTATTCAAGTCGAGTTGGTTCGCCGATGGGGGTGCTGGAGGGGACGTGTTCGCGGGACCCTGGTTGAGCTTAACGATAAAGATATGGCGGAAGTGAAGGCGCGCACCGAGATGAAGAGCGCATTATCAAAAGCCCTTGTCAAGGCTGGACCTGCTATAACTGTCTAGATAGACCCGTCCTGTATTATTGGTTCAAGAGAAACGTCTAGCATCCTGATATTTGTTGAGCTTCTAAGTTTGGTGCTTACAGGTTATCGCCGGGCATCCTAAGTTGATTACCAATAACCACCTGGGCATCACAAGTTCGGTATGATGATGTCTTCCGACGTGAAAAGCAATTAGTCTTGAGCACCGACATGCGATACACTCATTGGTAACGCGATAGTCCGGAAACAGAAACAAGGCAGAAGGTTAGCTGTTATTCGAAGCTTCGAAAGGCGCGCGTTGAGGAGCTCAAGCTCGAGCCATTCAACCAATCAGCGGTGACGTGATGGCCATGACAAAGGCGCTAGCGACGCGATCCTTGCAAATCTGGGGTAGCTTCGAGGCGGCCATACAAGGTGCAGCAAGAGTCTGGCGCTTGCTAGCAAGCCCATATACACCGCTTTGATACCGCTCTTCACTTCTTGTTGATCTACAACTCTTACAACTTTTACATCGAACCTTTGTAATACAACACCAACAACAACACTTCCATCAACATGTCTTGCCCCGTGATCGGTACCACAAACGATGTGCTTCCCCCAAACCACCCCTCTATCGACCTAGCGAAGGATGGTCAGGTTGTACGTACTCAAGGACACACTGGGCATCGTTGCACATCGCTAACATACAACCCACAGTGCCCAGTCGTAGGCGCAACCAGCGACCACCACCACAACCTCTCCGCACACCCTCCCGTCCCCACCCAAGGCACCGAGGCTACATCGTGCCCCGCGCTCAAGAAGAACGTAAAGACGACCAAGGCCCAAGAGATGGACGATGCTCTCTGCCCGATCGTAGGCACAGCTACAACCGTACTTCCTCCCGACCACCCAGACATGCTCAAGGCGAACGCCGGCGACATCTGCCCAGTCACAAAGGCGACAGTCGGACACCACAAGGATAAGGTCGCTACACACCCGAGTGTAGAGGGTGCGGCGGATGGGGCTGTATGCCCTGTCACCGGCCAGAAACAGGCTGCATAGATATGGCGAAAGGAGGGATGGGGGCGGCGTTGGTAAATTATACCCGAATATAAATGATTGGATAGTGATTCTACGCTGAATCAGCTTCCGCCCCATCTCGCGGCACTATTCTGGCTGTTCGTTGCGTTGTTCTGACAGCGTAGCTGTGGTGTCAGATGTTGGGCGCTTAGCATGCAGTCTCACGTTGAATATTTGGGGGCCGTAATGACCCCAACAGGTATATGCTTCTTACTACCTTCGCATCTCCATCTCGTGCACACTCAATCCCTCATTATGCGTTACCTTACTCTCGTTCTCACAATTTCCCTACTCCGCTTCGCATCACCACAGAACATATGCTACTTTCCCAACGGCGACACACAACCCCACGACGTCCCGTGCGATCCCGACGCGGAAGTAACAGGATGCTGCTGGTCGCGTGCAGCCTGTCTCACAAACGGCCTTTGCATTATGGGTGGTGCGGAGAGCGATAGCGGCCAGGAGTACGCACGCGGCACCTGTACGGATAGGAGCTGGTCTAGCCCACTCTGCCCACAGAACTGTCAGCTCAATCAAGATACGCCGAATAATTCTAGCGCCTATGACTTTCGCGCTGATGGCGTCAAGGTGTGGCAGTGTGGCTCGCAGGGATACGGGAGGGAGGCAGAGTACTGCTGTGAATCTGAGGCAGAGGGGCAGAGGTGCTGTCATACGGATACGGCGGTGTTTACCTTGACGAGTGCTACTGTAGGCCCGTATACAGGGGTTGAGAGTAGTTCGTCGCTGTCACTGAGTTCATCCGCTATTTCGAGTGCGAGTACCACGCCTTTGCCAACTCCATCGCGCACTGGTACTGGGTCCGTAACTCAAGCCTCTCCGAGCCCGCCAGCCGGCAATTCGGGTCAAAGCGACAGCAAAGCAATTTCCATCGGCGCCGGAGTCGGTGGAGCTCTAGGAGGATGCCTTCTGACCGCCCTGTTGATACTCTTCATCAGGCGCCACAAACGCAAACGAGTGGCTCCCCGTTTAGACGAGCCTCCAGTCGCTGTGGCAGAGTTTAACGATAAAGCCGAACTATCGACTGAGGAGTCATATGCAGAACTGTCGAGTCAGAGTCAGATCAAGGCGGTCTGGGAGCTGCCCGGAGATGAACGTCTACCGGGCTACAACATGAACAGTCGATAAGTTAGAGTGGAATGGGAGAACCGGGTGCCTATGCCGTTGGCTCGCGGGGGTGAAAGTTGGATCTTTCACTACATGAGAAGAGCAATGTCGATCAGCTCGTCTCGGACGAGATGAATGGAATTCAAGACCATGGTGTAGTAGAGTCTCACATGAGGGAGCTCGCTCGGTAGATAATAACGTATAGAGATAGATAGTCAGCTGGTAGATCGAAGCCCCTCGGCATCTAATACAGCATTTGACCTTTTCTAGCTCGTATTTTGATCGAGGGTCGGCACCTGTATTCCTCTTTACAAGACGCTCCTTACTGCCACAAAATGCTTGTGAGCCCTTCGTTTGTGAACCCTTCATTTGCGAACCCTTCGTTTGTTAAAACCTTCAGGTTTGAGGCGAGAAGCTGTTTGTTATTGCCACACGCGCCTGAAGCTTTGAGCACAGTTCAGTCCCGCTCAATCATCCGTTGAGCAATCTCCAAGATGATAAATCACCCCCTCCTCTCGCTCTACCCTCAACTTATCTTCCAACTGATTCGCAAACTTTGGTTGAATAAGCAATGGAGTTCAATTCTAGATTCGCTCTCGCTGTCATCACCGCGGTGATGGTAGGACGAATTTGTTACCTCATCTATTTGTTAACAGCCGCTAATCGCGCTGCGAAGCGTTTCGGTTTCGGCTTCGCCTTTGCGTCTAGTCCCCAGGGAAAAAGCAACCACGGAATACCCAGGAAGCCAAAGTACATCTTCCATGTACCCCGACACTGCGAACGCAAAGTGCGCCATCCCCCTCGACCGGGCAAAACTCAAGCGCATCCGTTACGTCCTGCCATCGTCAAGAAGGCCGAGGAATGGGAAGAGTACGTGCCAGACTACTTCCCGCGCTTTCTCCAGCTTCCGCTCGAGATACGTGAGAAGGTCTATCATTACGCAATGGACGGCCTCTCAACACGATACTTCGTCCAGGCGTACAAGGACATTTCGCCCCTGACCGTAGCTCCAGCTACACTCCCAAATCTATGTTTTGCCAGCAAGCAATTACACAAGGAAGGACTCGCCGTCTGGATCCGCCGCACACGCTTCACGGTCTTGAAAAGCAGCATAACGCATGTGGTTCCTCTGATGAATTTTCTTTCCGCTGTCAACGGCTTCAAACACGTGCGCATGCTGTGTTATGGCGATCTCCTCGCCTACGGCCTGAAACACCAGAGGGTGTACATAACCACGGGTGAAGATCTAGCTGCCAAGTGCACTGGACTCCGCAGTCTAATCTTCGAGTTGGACTATTTCTGGCTAACAGATTTTGCGCGTGCGCCAGCGCCTGTGAAGCTGGCTCCAAAGAAGGAGGTAAAGAAGCGGTTGAGGCTTGAGCCAGTCTACCAGCTAACCAGTTTGAGGAAGCTGAAGATCGAGGTGGTTGTGCCCTGGTCCCGAGGAAAACGCTTTGAACAGCAGGGTGGATTGACGCGTTTGACGGAGATAATCACCGAAGGCTTTGAAGCGGCAGGGAGAGGTGGGGCTGTAGAATTGCAGCTTGAGATGGTAGCTAGGAGGCTGTTGGTCGGAACGTAGTGCGTGGGATAACCAGCTACTTAATCTCGTAGCGATATATGGATATTCATGTATAATACTACAGTACGGAGACAGCGACAGAGCCTGTGCCGACAAACATGGAAGTCTTTTTGAACCACGAACTCTGAATCATGGGAGAGTATAGCCGGTGACTAGGGAGAACGAGCGCGATATGGTAATGGTGAGTGCGATGGTTTTCGCCGTGAGCGCCCTGCATCTTCGCCGTCGGAACCTGAGCGTCTTCGCTCGCGCTTTCGATGTCGGTCGCGTCTGTCTCGGGAATCCTCGCTCCGATCTCGAGTCCGTTCCGACCGGTGGCGACGATGTCTGTCCTCCGAGTCATCTCGTGGTCTTGACTTCCGATGTCTATGTTCGTCGCGTGGACTCCTGTCGAGGCTCTTACTCCTCCGACGCGAGTGCTTGTCACGCCCATTGTCCTCTCCCGCTCCCTTCATCCTTCTTCTGTCCTTGCTCCTATCTCGGTCTCTCGACCTGTCTCTCCGACTATGCCTATCCTTGCGCTTTGCCCGCTCCTTTTCTTTGCGCTTCTGCTTCTTCAGTTTCTTGAGGGCATCGTCCACTTTCTCTTGTTGACGCTTGATCATGGAATCGCGCATCGGATCGTCCTCGTCGAGCTTCTCCATGAGCCGCCCTAGCTCAATCTCCTCTGGTAATAGTGGTCGGTCGTCGTCCGAGTCGCTTTCGCTTTCTGTCTTTCTCCGCTTCCTTCTGCCGCCATCGGACTCATTGCCCGCGTCGAGGTCTACGTCCCCCATGGTATTGTCCCTCATATCTTCGTCGTCCTTAGGCTTGTACCGCGCATGGTCGACCCTAATGACTCGGTCCATAATGGTTGCTCCACCCAGGTTGTCCACAGCCAGATCGCAGCTCCTCTGGTCTTCGTACTTGATCCAAGCAAAACCTCGTGACTTTCCCGTCTCCTTGTCGCGCGCAAGCTTGACCCATACCGGCTCGCCATACTGGGAGAATATGGTGACGATGTCACCCTCTGAAAGTTCGAAGGGTAGGCCGCCGATGTTAATGAAGGCGGTGTCGCGGTAGTCGGTATGCCATGAACCTTCTGGGTTGATGCCCGCTTCGAGCTCGCGCTTGTTGAGCTGCTGGATCGCGCGCACCGAGTTCATCGTGGGCGTGGTGTGTACGTGGTGGTGAGGTGAGAGAAGTGAGGAAGGCGCGTTCGGCGGGTGGGTTGGGCGTCGCTTCCTGATCCACTAGCGCTGTGATGGCTGTTCAGACATGGATCGTGGGTCTTCGAATCCCTCTTGTATGTCGCTGCGACTCGGAAAAATGTTGGCGCAGTATTCTAGACGTCGTGTCGGAGGGCAGGCAAGTCCGCTGGAACTTTTGAAGCTCGGGCTTGGCCAGCAGCCGCATCCCTGCAGAAAAGGTACCAGCGAACATGCGGCCAAACAAGCACACCGCAACCCCACTAGACATTCACCCCGTGCCGCCTTAGCCCTTCCGCATCCGTCGCATACTTTGTGTACATCATCTACGCAGCATCGCTCAGCCGGGCACGTCACGTTTCACCAGCGACCAAGCTCCGCAGCACCTCCGCAATGGCGAGCGCGCGTCGGACCTCCAACTTCCCCACACGCGTCCCCGGCAGCCACGACCGGCCGGGCAGCAGAGACACGGACAAAGAGGAAATATGGAAGCCCATGCTCGACAACATCTCGAGTGGAAAGCGACTGCCGGAAAAGAGTCTACTCGTCCTGGGTGAGGGCCACGACACGCAGAATAGGGGATCTAGCTAATACTCGATCCCAGGCGGAACACCAGAGACGCAGCGAGAGTTCCTTGAATCGGTATCCACAGACTCTGCAAACAATAGGCGACCGCCAGACCGGGGCAGGAAGCCGCCCATCGCCAATCAATTCGGCCTGGGCTACACGTACCAAGATGTATTGGACACGGATCACGAGGGTATGTAGCGGCACTGGTTATAACAACAAGTATCGCTAACAAAGCCAGATACTCTGGCGCGCCTCTCGCTCTACCTCCTTGCCAATCCATCGCCGTCGTTCACGCCCTTGATCAAGCCGTACCTCAACCCACGAACCCTCCCGCACATGCTTATCGTCATACTCCTGGACTGGAACCACCCATGGCTGTGGATACGACAACTGCGCGACTGGATCAGAGTTCTGCGATCGCTTATCGTCTCGCTCGATGACAACTCCAAGGTAGTTCTGGAGGAGAACATCCAAACCCTACAAGACAAGGGCCGCAACCTCCCATCCGAAGGTAGCAGCATGGAGAACGTGAAGATACCACTAGGCCCGGGAGAATGGGATGAGCCGCTCGGCATACCGCTATGTGTGGTATGCCAGAACGCGGACAAGATCGAGACCCTTGAGAAGGAGCGGGGCTGGAAAGAGGAGGAATTCGACTTCATACTCCAGTACATGCGCACCATTCTTCTCAAGCACGGCTCAAGCTTGGTATACACAATGCCCACGGCGCCGGGATCTTTGCGAACGCTCATTCACTCCACACTCGGCATCAAGTCCCTGCTGAAACAAGAGCAACTTAGGCACAACGTGACGGATCGCGATCGCGTACTGGTTCCACCCAACTGGGACTCATGGGCGAAGATTCGTATATTACGAGAAGGCTTCGATGTGGAGGGCATCAGCGAGAAATGGAGTGTTGACATCGACATTCCCCAGCACATGCGGCCAACCAACGGCCAAGTGGCTGCACCCATCGAAGGAGAAGCCCAACCGAACGGTGAAGAGGCGCCGGTTGCGCCAGCTGAAGAGGAAGAGGAAGGGCCCTCAGCGACTTCAATCTACGAAGAGACGATCCGCAACCCGGAGTCAGACTACGCACTGTCAAGCCTATCGAAACAAGCCAACGGGCTCGAAGTATCAAGCAAAGATCCACAGGCCTTCCTCGCCGATCAGGTCAACGTTCTTGAGAATCTGCGGCGGGAGGATGAGAATGAAGCTGCCATGAAGGCTGCGCGCAAAGAGCAAGATCCGTCAATCTCTAGGACCTATACCGACGACGCATCGGGAGTTGTCGAAGAGCACATTGGACCTGTACAATTCAACATGGGCGGTATTCAAGTCAATGCCGATGAAATGGTTAAGAGGCTACAGGTACGTCAAACGTTCATTCTTCCTGAAGAGATAACGAACATTTACTAACTTCATTCCAGGACCGTCAAGCCAACCGATCAGACGAGCCCGAAACACCACCTCCCAAAACACAAGACACCAACATCAATGACAACGAGAAGCTGAGATCTTTCTTCTCCAGCTTGGTCAACAAAGCGCCCTCGGGCAGTCCAAGGGGTGGATCGTAGTCTGGGTCTTGTTTCTTTACCGGCATTTCCCACTTTCTCAGGCATCTGCATTCCATACAAGTTTATTCGACGCTTCCGATAGCAAAGGCTTTCTTACAGGTTCACGGTCGTCATTAGCATGGCTTTATACCCACAGTGTATTTCCGTACCCAATACAAGCTTTCACATTCCATATCACCATTTCTCGAATACGTACTTCTCAATTCCTGTTACTGCATCCATCATCGACACGTTTGCTTTCTGCGTGATCGTGAACGCATGTACAACGCAGCTCGGTCGACTTGTCTCTTTTTTCCCGTGGCGGAAGCCACGCATCAATGTCTTCAAGCATCAACTTCACGCCCCTACCAACACACTCATCTTTTATATAGCTACCCCGTGCGCGTCTCTCTTCAACCCTCTATTCATACTCTTTCAACCAAACAAAGTTTCAGCTCACCTGACAAACACTACACTAAGTTACTAAACCCAGAGCAACCCACCCTCGCGTCATTCCCAGTATGACAGGCCGAAGCGTCCGCTGGGCCGACTACCGCCGCCCAGATCGCATCACGGCAGACAACCTCTCTCAAGTGCCTCACGGGCACTTCAACTGGGGACACTGGAGGCATATGGGTAAACCACCTGGGATGCAGGGGTATTGAAATGAGAGAAGAGGGCAGTGGGGTTGGAGGAACGGGTACCAGTGGGGTGATGCTCACGGTCGGTATCGTTGAGCTACAACATCGAGAATAGTAGTAAACAATGATATATTCAACATCTCGTTGTACTTAGAGTACAATATCACGCCAATCTAGGGAAAAGCTGAACAGCCTAGAGCCTACGTTGACTCTGGGTCACCTCCTTTGCAAGGTTTTAGGTCAATGTACTCCGCAGACGTGTTCAGTTTTTCCTTTGTATGAGGTGCTATCATACTCTAAATCAAGTCATACACGAACACAACGTCCACCTACCTCTCCAACAACCACCTAACCCCCTCCAACGTATCCTCCACAAACCCTCTACTCTCCTTCAACTCCGGATAGTTTGTCCAAAACATATGCCCAAACCCCTTGTATAGTTCAAACCGCGTTAACACCCCACTCTCCCTCAGAGCCCTATCATAAAGCACCGCCTCGTCCCTCAACGGATCCAGCCCGCTAACCTGGAAAAACGCCTTCGCGACACCCACATGTCCGTCTGGATGGTTGAACGGGTCCCAAAGCGGTGACTCTTCCTGTGGTTCGTAGATAGATTCGATGAATCCTGGTGCCATATCTTTGAGTACGGGGTCGGATGTATTATCTGAGCGGGATTGGTAGAGGGGGATTAGGTGGGCAGGAACGTTTGTGTGGGGGAGGAGTGCGGGGACGCAGAGGTATTGGCCTGTTATGGGTGGATTTAAAGCTGTGTCTCGGGCGAGAAGGGCAAGAACGGCGGCGATGTTGCCGCCGGCTGAGGCGCCGCCTACGAGGAGGCCGCGGGTGGGTGTTGCGTTGAGTACGTCGCTGTTTTTGATGGCCCAGAGGAGGGCGTCGTGGCAGTCGTGGACGCCGGTTGGGAATTTGTGCTCGGGTGCTAGACTGTGGTGGTACGTGAGTAAATGTGTCTTGGGAAAAGAAGTTGAAGTATACGAAGACGCAACGATAACGTAAACAATCAAAGAAAACCTGGGATACAAACGACGGGATCGTCTTACCGATACTCAACATTAACACAAACAGCCCCCAACTCCCTCATAAACATCCGACAATTCATATCTTCATCCGTTAAATCACCCATACTCCAGCCTCCTTCGTGGTACATCATAATCAGTGGGCTGCCATCCTCCGGCGGACCAGCAACAGGCTGGTACACTTTGACGCGGATGGAGGCTCCATCTCGGGTGGGCACGTCGAGGAGGCTTTCTGTCACGTGCTCTGGGATGGCACCGGGGATGGGGTAGAGGTGGCGGAGCTGCGAGAGGTGGGCTGCGCGGGAGGCGCGGTGGGCGAAGAAGTCTGGGCCTGTTGTTTGGAATGGGCGGGCTGTGAAGGCCTGGGGTGGGGTGTGAGTTTAGGGATAGGGGTTAGAGGGCTGGGGTTTCGAAGGAATGGTGATGAAGTGGTATAGGAAGTGACTGGTGAGCTTATGGTACCTACCTTTCTGTATATTTCGGACACCTCACCCGACTCAAGGACTTCTTCCCGTGTTAGATGAGCCATTTTTCGTACGACAATTTGGAAGATATGGAAACGGCAAAGTGACTAGGATATCAAGATGGGTTACAAGAGGCTTTGTAATATACACTTGCCATCCTACGTTGTTGATGCATACCACGTGTACGCTTACGTCATTTCTTAACAATCTACTTCTATCACAACTCACATCCCCGAGAGCGATGCTTGTTCCAAAGTCATCTGCGACTAAACTCGATGTGTTCAGATCGAATATATGCTGGTGATATCGCTCAATTATATGAAAGGTATACTGCAAGATTATGTAACACATCAAAAGAAATATGAACAGCTCAGCATCTACAACCCCAACACACGTCAAGGAAGGTCATGTGCAAACTGCGGACAGTACCACACATTTCCACCAATCAACCACCCTCCTACTCCTTATCAACAAGCACAGTACTATCCTCAACCTTCTTCTCCTCCCCCGCCAAACTAGGTTGGACAACCTGCCTGCCCTTCCACCCCGCCATAAGCTTACCCAGCCTCTTCCTCAGCCCATACTGCATCCAGTACGGCCAAGTCCTTATCGCCGGAATGAACAGCCCACTAGTTTCCGGCAGAACAACATGCTGACTCTTGCCGCTTAGCACAGCCTTAACAATGCTCTCCGCAACCGTCTCCGGGTAAAGAACGCCCTTGGAATCGAAGCCTTCGAACAGCGCAGTGCGCGTGTAGCTCTGGGCCATGAGCACAGTCCTTATCTTGGGTGCGTTGTAGCGGGCGGTGAGTTCGGCGGCGAGGCCTTCGTGGAAGGAGAGGGCGGCGGCTTTGGAGGATGCGTAGTCGACCATCGAGGGGGCGGAGAGGTAGCCGGCTACAGAGGCGACGGTTACGATCATGCCGTGGTTGGCGGCGATCATGGCGGGCAAGAACTGCTGTGTCAAATAGTAGTGGCTGAAGGCGTTGACCTTGAAGGTCAGGTTGATGTCCTTCTCTGTCGACTCGAGGATGGTCTTGCCGCGTGCGACTCCGGCGTTGTTGATCAGGACCGTGGGGTTACCGAGTGTGGAGCGGATGGATGAGGCGGCGGAGGCGATGGCCTCGGGGTCGGTGAGGTCGCACTTGAAGAAGCGGACAGATGATGGTGCTGGTGAGTGTCAGTATATCTTCCAAGCAATTGACGCTCAATTGCAGACATACCCTCATACGTCAAGTCCTGGACGTCCAGAACCGCGACCTTGATACCCTTCTCGGCGAGCAGCTGGACAACAATCTTGCCAATGCCATCGCTGCCTCCGGTTACAACGACGACCTCGCGACTCCAGACATAGGCATCGCCGCTCCAGTTGTTGGTCACGCCGCTGTTGAGCCAGGCGTTGACGGTGCTCAGCGCACCCAAGCCCAGCAGCGTCTTCAGGCCCTTGAATGCTGCGGCATGGTCTTCGGCGAGGGCGTTGCCTTGGTGCGTGTAACGCGCAAGGAGGAGGAGGGGCAGCGTGAGGGCAGGGTTGAAGGCCGTGTACCTGATGAGGCGGCTGATGGTATCGCCAGTCACGCCTGTTCACGGTGTCAGAAAAGCGTCCTACTCGATACTATTGCCATTGTGACGATTGGGAGCGGCAATGGCTCGGTGCTTACCTTCGCGCGCAAGGGTCCAGTCGCTTCGAATCGGCATCGCGACGGTGTCTTGGGTGGTTGGATGTCGGAAAGAGTGGTCGGGATAGCGCGTGGAAAGCCGCAACTAGCAGCAACGGATAGCGTTTACATTTCGCGCGTCGCGACTCTTTAAACGGACCGGCTGTAGTACTCCTTCGTCGTGCAGCTGTGCCACGCCCACCAGGGAGAGAGCGGGGTCGCCCCAAAACAAGGCTGGCGCAATCCTGAACGAGCCCACAACCGAGGATCTGGCGCTGTCTATCGCGATTTCCCTGTCGCCATGTGCAAATGAGGTTTGCCAAGAGATCGGAAGGGATTCAGAGATTGAAAGAGATTCGTGTGAAGATCGTAAAATGATTATTGTTTACAGCGTTCGTGCTGTCGTGACTAATATACAATTGTGCTAAACGCGCTCCAAGTGATGCTATGTAAATACTGCTATACTGAACAAAGGAAATCTCGTAAAGTGGTAAAATGATATCCCAAACGCCAAACACAAAACCCGCCCACGCTATCAAGGTAAGATAAGAAAAAAATCGTAATCCAAACGGCCGTCCATCTAGATCATGTTGCTACCGGGTTGCTCGTAGTCCATGATCGTGCTCTCAGGGGGCGCGACGCTCGTTACCCGACTGATGCGACTTGCTCGTGAGTCGGGACGATTGATCGACATCGCTCCACTCATGACCCTCACTACCTTCCTGCTCTTGGTTCCGGCGACCAGGACCTGGGCTGGGCAGACGACAATTTCGTCTTCGCCTTCGCCGAAGTCATCGCCCTTCTTGACGACTAGGGGGAACAGTACAATCTTGACTACTGACCCACGAGCTTGGAGTTCGTCATTTGATGTCGTCTCGCCTGACCGTTCGTTCATGAGAGAGGCGTTGAAAGTAACTTTGGCGACGAGGTCGCCCTTGGTATCGTACTCGGGTTGTAGCGGCGGCAGCATGATGTATTCCGCGCGTTGGGTGCGCATCTCAATTGATAGCTCCACTGCCAAGCGCATGACGTTGCGCAGCGACTCCTGGATCTGGCGCTGCAGATGCGACGGTGGTGGAAGAAGTGTCGAGAGAGTGCTGTAGATCTCGTGCACGACAGCTTCAGTGTCCTGCGCGCGCTGCTGCATGAAAGGCTCTCTTCTCGCAAGAAGGGTAAGTGTGATAGCTCGCCATTGTGCCACAGCGCGTGGTGGGCCGACTTCTGAAAGTGTCTTCTCCAGTGCCTTAAGTTTCTGGCGCTGTTCTCGGTCCATACCGAATAGGTACCTAGTGAAGACGTACTCCCAGATCATGGTCATAACCACGGACATGAAGACGTCACGGCGCTTCACACGGTCCGCTAGGAGTGAATCGACATCTGAGCCATCGAGAATGGCATTGTCAAGGCGGGTGTCAATTTTCTGACGCGTTGATGCATCCAGTCGCGTATCAGCTGCGACCTCTGATGAAAGGCGGCATGCGCGAGTGTCAGAAAACTTGGAGAAGCGCAGCACCCACTGCTGGACATGTTGACAGAGTTGTTGACATGCGCTGTCAAAGTAGTCCTCATCGCGAACAGTGAGGAAGCTCTCACTAGGCTTCTTCGAAGCCAAGATCTGCTTTTGAAGGTTCTTGATCTGTTCGCGTGCAGTCGCTAGCTCTGCGGTTAGACGGTCGATTTCGGCATTGCGCTCATCAAGTGCTTCGCCAACTTCATCGCGGACGGCATCTGCGAGACCTCGCTGCATCTGGGTATGCTGGCGGCGAAGTTCCTCCAAGTCTCGTTGTGATGTTTGCCATTGCTGTTGCATGGCCTGGCCTTCAGCCTGAAGTTGGGCGTATTGACTGCGAAGGCTCTCTAGCTCTCGTTGCGATGCCTGCCATTGCTCGTGCACCATTTGTCCCTCGGACTGGAGTTGACCATATCGTTCATTGGCATCATTGGTCAGGTTGCGATTGGCGTCTGTTAGTGCGTTGTTGAGTTGATTCAGGCGCGCAATCTCTTCTTGTAATCGCTGAAGCGTGTCCTTGAGTTGCGCAATGTCGATATCCCTTTGGTGAATCTGACGGTCACGTGCTTCTACTTCTTCAAGTACCAGTTGCTCGTCAACTTGGCGCTGATGTTGTGCAGCTTGTAAAGCCTCCTCAGCCTTGGCCTTAGCGGTCTCGACAGCTGAGTTTTGCGCAGCTAGCTGGTCAAGTTGCGTCTGGAGGTCCATGATTTGCATGCTTTGACGTTTGCGCACGCTTGGTGGACGTGAGGGCGAGCTAGGCGACCTTTGGGCTTCACCCCATGCTTCCTGCAAAACACAGTCAGTAATCAGAAGCGACGTACGCAACAACTGCGAACTACTTACAAAGGTTTCGGCCATACTGGTACGGCGACCTCTACCTGTACCCCGGACTGGGTCGTAAACCGGTGGGGCGGCGATACCTGCGATGGCTGCTGCTCCAGCCGCGAGCGCCGTGCTGGAGAGATTGGGTTGCGCGCTCTTAGCGTCTTGCGCACTGGCCTCGCCAAGCCTCGAGGCTGATCTGAGGTCACCTGACGTTTGCCGGTCCACTCTTCTCAACGACCGGTCCGAACGCGTGCTGATATTGCTCATAGAGCTCATAGGCCGCTCCTGATCCGGAGACCTGAGTCTCGCGATGTTGCTCAGAGAACGCTGACTTTGAACACTGGGCGACCGCTGCTCAGCAATGTACTGCTTCAACGGGTCTGCGCTCGGAGAGGAGCGAGGCATGCGGCGTGCGGGGCTGAGAGTCATGGTTCGATCAACACTATCGTTGACCTGTGACCATGGTGAGTCTCTTCCACCTGAGTTGTCTGCCATGGATGCCACACTTCGACGACCAGTGGGTGTTGGCGTGCTGGGCGGAGGTGATCTCAGGCGATCAGAAAGTTGCCTGAGACTCTCGGTGCGACGAGCTGACTTGAGTCCTCGCTCTGGCGCGCCGACATCAGCGATGGATCGTGACTTCTTGTGCTTGGTGTCATCCGGGCTGACTTCTTCAATGGACTCGAGTTGCTTGGTGCCTGGCGTGCGTTCGGACTTCGCGACAGGCGTGGAAAGGGTCTCAGCCTTCTTCTCATTAGGATCGCCAAACAAGGATTGGTATGACTCCTTCTGTGCAATCTCCTTCGTAGGCGATGTTCGACCGTGCTGCGACTCCGTGCGTGGTTTCTTGCCTTTGTCTTTTGACGGAGTATCATCAACTCTCTGAGTATCATGAGCGGGTGTTTGCGGCCCAACTGCTGGTGAAGTGCCATAAGCGCGTGTTGATGGCGAGGAATCGAAAAGATACGAGGTTCGCTCCTTCGTTGCAAAGTCGGTGCCTGGGGTTGTCGCGCCAGAAATCACTGGGTGTGTTGGCAAAGCAGGGCTGTCTTCGGCATCTTTGTCAGTTGCAATTGAGCGTTTTGATGCACTCAGAGGAGTCTTCGGTTCCTTTGACCGCCTCAGCGTACGTGTTGCCTTCTCGACTGGCTGTATTGGCTGTGCAGTGGCGGGGTCCTGACTGCTGTCATCTCGAACTTCGGCGAATGACCATGATGGCTCGTTGGCTGGTGCTGCACCATGCGTTGATGATTTGGCTTCTTTGGAGCGCTTGTCGGAGTGTGAGCGTTCTGATGCGACAACATGCGCTGGTGATGCTGTTCTCTCAGTGGTGAATTGAGGCTCTTGAGTGGACTCCAACGTATGTAGGCGCTTCTCGTCCGGCTGCTCATTGTCAAAGGATACAGGATGTGTCCTGCGCTTGTGAACTTCGGGAATGGCAGCTGGTGTTCCGGCTGGTGGTGCGTCCCTCGACGCGGTACTCGACTCTCCCTCAACCCTCTCTTCAGTCTTCTTGCTCTTTTTGCTCTTCTTTTTTGGCGATGGAGCCCAGGCATCCATATCCCTCTCTTTCTCCAACTCTCGCCTGCGCGTCTCCTCCTTCTTCCTCTCGATCTCCTTCTCTTGCGTCACCTGTGGAAATGGATATTCCTTCGGCTCTCCAGCGGTCAGTGAACGGGCTTCCTGATCGAATGTCACGGGCAGTACGGGCACATCCTCAGTGACTGCAGGTTTGACGTCCTTCGCTGACTTCCTGGGCCTCTCCTTCCTCGTCATCGTGTCTTGTCTGATTGAATCTTCCTCTTTGACGTCAATAGACTTGGCTTCCAATCCTGTTGTTTGCGTTGGCACCCCCGGAAGGACATCGGTAGAGGTTGGCGCGCGAGACACGGACTGAGCAGGCTCAATTCCGCGGACTGTGGAGTCAGCTGGAGTCTCAACAGCGAGAAGCACATCTCGATGAGCCTCGATCGCCGGAGTCTCTGCAGCTGCATACTCAACACGGTCTTGCAGACGTGGAGCTCCTTCTTCGTCCTTCTTTGACTTCTTGCCTCGAACAATCGGCGCAACTGAAGCGTCTGCTTCTTCGCGGGTGTGTTCAGATTCCACTGGGGTTTCTGGTATCGGAAGACGCTTCTTCTTGCTCTTGTTCCTTCTCAGACTTGATGACCCGGCCAACTCATCAGGGTCAGCTTCTTCAAGAACACCAGGAGGCGACTTTCGCGTTGCAAAAGCGGGGTCGTTGAGCACATCCAGTGGGTCGAACGATGCAGTGTCAGTCGTTGCCATTGCTACTTCGATGGGTGGCAGAACATCGGGTCCGCTAGGCTGGAGTGGTCGTAGTTTTGGCGAGCCGGAGACCGATGATGAGCGACTCAAGCTACCGAGTCGTGATCTGCCGGCTCTTTCCTTTGCAGCGGCAATATCATCATCAGGCGTGATATCGCGAGCTCCTGATATGGAGTTCGAGCGATGAAAAGCTCTGTCGTTGATGACATATCCAGGGTCAAAACCAGACTCTTGCAAACTGGCGGCGACAGTGGCTGCGAAGTCTATATCTCTTGCGGGTGACTTGGAATCTGATCGCACTGGTGACGCCAAGCCAAGTTGACTACGAGATGCAACTCGAGAATGGAGCTGACGCTTCTCAGGCGATGGAGATCGAGATAGGTATCGCTTCTCGGGAGATGGGGGTAGAATGG